TAAGGTAGCAAGAAACGACAGCGAAGGACTCAGCTCTTCCTTTCTGGAGGGAAGGGGAGGAAGTGAGTAAGAGCAGGAGCCCCAGGACCACCAGCCTGTGCCACCCCACGGCTGAGCACAACGAGCCTTTGGGCTTGTAGCTATAGCTCTAAGGGCACTGGTGAGTCTTTCTCTCTCTAGTTCCCCATAGAACCTCCAAAATCCATCGCAAGAAACGACAGCGAAGGACTCAGCTCTTCCTTTCTGGAGGGAAGGGGAGGAAGTGAGTAAGAGCAGGAGCCCCAGGACCACCAGCCTGTGCCACCCCACGGCTGAGCACAACGAGCCTTTGGGCTTGTAGCTATAGCTCTAAGGGCACTGGTGAGTCTTTCTCTCTCTAGTTCCCCATAGAACCTCCAAAATCCATCAAATCCTAAACAAGAACTCTCCGGTGTGCTCAGAGAGGGTGGGAGACTCTTTGCAGCCCCTGGACAGGGTCAGGGTGGCTCAGAGGGTCTCTGCCTGCACCCCCATACCATGGATGAGATGCCTTCCTCCTCCTCCTCCTGGATTCGCTTCACCGGCTTCAGGAGCTGCTGCAGAGACTTGTTGTGTCGGGAGAGCTGGAGAGGACAGGGATGGCTGGTGAGCACAGGGAGCAGGACACAGGGTGGCTGGCAAGCCTGGGCTGCCTTTTCATGGGAGCCAAAGGCACATTTCCCAGCCTGGCTGGGGGAAATGTGTAAATACAGAGAGAAATGTGCAATCCATGAGTGGGAGCCCAGCCTGGCAGGTCCTGCTCCCACACTCCCTACCTGCAGCGCCAGGATATAAATGTTGTGGCCAACTTCCCGGGGGGAAACCTCAGCGTTCTCACACTCCTCCTCCTGCAGGTAAGCCTTCTTGATCACATCCACCTGGAAGGCAGCAGAGAGGCAGTGAGCTCCTGCCAGGGGAGGGAGGCTGGAGCAGAGGGACCAGCGGTGTGGCAGGGGAGATGCTGACTGGGTGCAAACCAGAAACTGCAGCAGCACCAGAGGCAGAAGAGATCCAGGCAGGGGCTGGGGGAGGCTGGAGGCTCAGCAGGGCCAGACTGGGGCGTTCCCAGTTCCCTTACCAGCTCCTGTGGCCGGAGGCTGATGAGGATCCGCTCTGCGTTTTCGCTGTCGTGCCTGCTCTCCATGAGGGCCAAGAGGAGCTTGGAGGCATTGTCCTGGCGAGAGAAGCTCTTGCTGAGGGAGCTGTGCCCTGCCTCTCCCAGGGGTTCAGAGTGGGCACAAACCTCCCCATGCCTTGACCAGCCAGAACTCCCCCGTGCCAGAGGCATCGGAGCCTCGTGCGGAGGAGAAGCAGCAGCCCCATCCGACCCAGCACACGTGTTCCACACATGGGCCTGACACAGGCACAGTCCCTGCCACAGCAGCCACCTCACACCATGGCACATGCCACAGCCCTGACACTGAGCCTGTGCAGTCACATGTGAGCAGTGACCCATACATGTGCAGCGACACACGTGAGCAGTGACACACGTGAGCAGTGACACACATGAGCCGTGACACACACGTGAGCAGTGACACACACGTGAGCAGTGACACACGTGAGCAGTGACACACATGTCCCACCATCCCCGCGCAGAGCTCCCAGTACCTTCAGCTGCAGGACCAGGTCCATGCGGTACTTGCAGAGGGGACTGATGTCATTCAGGATCAGAGCAGTGATGATGTCGATCCCGTTGGACTCGTGGGTCACGATGCAGCTCTGGGGGAGTCAGCAATGTGTTATCCCACAGATCCTGCCACTCCTCCCAGCCTCACCCTCCAGCACAGCCAGGTCTGACCCTGCCCGACCACGAGCCCCAAACCTCCCACCTCCCTGCAAAGGGCAGTTCACACCACTCAACTCTTTAACCCTATTTGCATCACCACAAGCAGCAGCTCAGGACCTGTGCAGGAGCCCTGAGACCCTGACAACCTCTGCTGCCCACATTCTGCTCCTGTTCACACTCTCAAACCAAACCCTGCCCCTTTCCCACACTCCCCCAAATCCTCCCCCGTGCACCCCTGACCGGTGATGGCACCCCAGGCACGTGGGGAATGACCCACAAGGAGAGCCCAGACCTGGTTCTCGTGGCAGGGCCCCTGGCAGTACTCGGTCAGGGTCTCCAGGGTCTGGGTGATGAGGGCCACGTTGTACTCGTTGATGTAGAGGCCCAGCAGCCCCAGCCCCCCCGTGGTGCTGCCACACATGATGTCCAGGAACTGCAGTGTCTCACACACCAGGTTGTAGTTGGTTTTGTTGTTCTGGCACCGCAGGAAGTTCTGTCGAGCAAATCCCAGGAATGGGGCTGAGCGGCACCGCTGGGGGGGCCGTGCCGATCCCCCCCCAACACCCTCCAGCTGAGGTCGATGGATATTTGTGCTGGGACCACCCCTGCAACCCACAGGCCTGGAGAGCAGCGCTCAGTCCCAGAGCCACGAGCAGCTCCTTCCAGAACACCAAGTTATCCATAAAGGACAGTGCACTGCAGATGGGAAACTGAGGCACAGAGCAGCTGGTGCAACGGCTTTTGGGACCCAAGTGGGGCAGAGCTCAGCCTTGCCCCCCCAGCCCCAGGGCCTGAGCCGCAGTACCAGGAGCCCCAGGACCCACCTGCAGGTCGCGGTTGTGGTTCTCGCAGAGCAGCTGCAGGAAGCGCAGGATGGGCTCCATGATCAGCACCGTCACCCCCATCTCGTTGTTCTGGCCCTGCTCCCCCGTGTCGTGGCCCTTGCGGAACCCCACGGCCACGGGGTACCTCGTGGGGGTGCCAGGCAGCACGAAGGTGTCTCCCCGTCCTGGAGGGAAGCCCCAGTGGGTCAGCAGTGGGCTGACCCACGCGCCAGGCGCTGGCTGTGCCCAGGGGACACGGCCCTGTACCTTTGGTGCCAGGCTCTGGCTCGTCCTTGTCCTCCCGAGGCTTGTTCCCAATGTCACTCATGTTCACAGACACGGTGGACTTGGTCTCCTGTTGTGCCTTCTTCATCCGGTCGTGCAAAACCTTGAAGAACTTCTCTGACTTCTTGTCGCTCGTCATGAGGTTGTAAAAGGATTTCTGGGAGGAGAAGAGACAGTTGTTCAGGTCTCCTCCTGCCCCCCCCAGCACTGTCCGAGATAACCTGGTGAGCAGGTTTATCCCCATGCAACAGCCTCAGACATCACAGTCCTCTTGGATCATCCCACGCCGCTGTGCTCTGCTCTACACCCAGAGGAGCAGCGATTACAGCAGCCCAGAGCTGGGACCCCACTGGATTTTGAATGTACAATTTTTCAGCTTCCCTGTGATAGAGGTTTGGGATAACTGGAGTTCCCTCCAGGAGCTGCAGCCCTGAGCCGTTTCAGGAGTACCCGGCAGAGGGCATCAGGATTGCTGCAGAAACACCCTGGAACCACCTGCCCCTCCCGCAGCCCTCCATGCAGCCACACAGAGCTGGAGACTCAAACCACCAGATTTCGGCACAGACAAGCAAGCAGGCAGCATTTTGGGCTGAGCACTGCCCTGTGCCCCCCTCATCCCTGTGCTCCCAGTGCCCACATCAAACCCAGGGTGCCCAGTCCCCCGTGGCACCTGGATCTCCGTGTTGCCTCCGTCCAGCAGCCGGATGGCGAGCAGGATGCTCTCCTGGAAGATCTTCTCATTCTTGGTGTTCATGATGAGGTCAGCCACCAACTTGGTGGCCCCTTCCCGGTCCAGCCGGCACTGGACGGCGGCGATGGCAGACCAGTCCTGGTCCTGGCCTGCGTGAGAGGACACAGGGGATGTGATGTGATGGTGCAGAACTGCAGGGGCATCTCAGTCCCATCCCCTCATCTCCCCAGACCCTTTACTCCCGTGGAGGTGGGGACATGGCAACCAGCTACAGACCTGATCCCATCATGGATGAGGAGCTAGGAATTCAAGGTGTGTGTGAGAGAGACAGGGAAGGGGCAGGAGAGAGGCACTCACCTCCCCCAGCAGCATCCACCATCTCCCCTTTGGAGCTGGACCTCTTGTTCTGCAGGTAGTTGTTCATCAGCATTTTCCGCAGCAGGTTGCCCTGCCAAGACAAACAAACGTCACGAGTGTCCCTGCGCCAGGGCCGGAGCAGGAGTGACTGAGCACCCCTGGGTGCACGGGGAGGCCCTGCCAGCCTGGGAGCAGAGTTTGCACAGACATGACTTGGGCTGGACCTGGTGCTCACCCTCTCTCCGTACTTGTTCCTCTTCACCAGCATCTGCTGCAGTGTCCTCAGCACCTTGATGCAGAGCTTCTCCTCCGTCTCCATGAGGTCCTTGGTGTGCTGCACCAGCCTGGCACGGCAAAGCCAGTGTCACACAGCCCAAAGGGACCAGAGGGAACCATCCCTCCCACCCCTCCAGGCCGCAGGCACACGCTGGGGAGGCACAGCCCACACAGGACGGAGGTCCCCAGCCCTTCCCAGCACTCCCTGGAAAATTGAGCCACCCTCACTTGGACAGGAACCCTCCGCTCTCGCATCGCTGGAACGCCTCCGTCCCCTCCATGAAGAGCAGCTCTGGCCGGTGCAGGACATCCACCAGCACGGACAGCTCAGCCTCCACCAGCGGCTTCAGGCGATCCTCCAGGGCGGTGATGATGTCCTGCAAGGCACAGCACACAGTCAGAGCCAGGGGATGCCCAGGAGGCACAGGCGTGGGAGGAGGACCCTGCAATGCCAGCGCCTTCCTGCTGTCCTGCCCTGTACCTGCAGCTTCTCGATGATGTTCTTGTAGTCCCACTGGTTGGGGGTGGTGGAGACGCGGGGGAAGGCGCGCGTGGTGGCCTTGTAGCTCGAGGTGTTCCTCTGCACGGTGCTGGTGGAGCTGCTGTTGAGCAGGGAGCTGACGTGGGCGTCCAGGTCCATGGGCAGCGCGATGGAACGGCTCTTGGCTGCGGAGATGGACACAGGGTTGGGGCACCACGACCCAGCCCAGCCCATCAGCTGTGCCCACCACCCTGCCCGGGCAGGGCACCATCACCATCATCCACTTCACTGGCAGCACAGAAGATTTGGGCTAAACCCAAGAGAAAACTCCTCCAGGTTAGTGAGGGCTGAGTGTTTCCACCCATCCCTCCCACTGCAGCACAACTCTGCCAACAGCCCAGACACACGCAGGGTGGCAAGAGGCACCAGTTCCAGGTTTTGGTTGGGAAAGCCCAGCATGGAGAGGCTGTAAGCACCCTGCTTTGAATTCCAAAGGGAAATCCCCACCCAGTGCCTAACCACCAGCAATCCTTTCCACGGTGACTCAGTGCGAACAGCCCTGTCCTGAGTCAGGCAGCTGCGAGGGCAAAGTCCTGGCCAGGGAAAACCTCGGTGAATGCTGCCTTTGTGTGCAGGCAGGGACACCCCAGGATGCTCCCAGCCAAGCCCAGCTATCTCCACACCACCAAGGCCCTGCTGAGGTGTAGCTCCAAAGCAGCACATCGCAGAGCCAAACCTCCCCATTCCCTGAGCCTCTCCCCGCGGTGTCCTGCCAAGCCCTGTGGAGGGACAGCAGCTCTGGCTCAGGGCTGGGGCAGAGGAGGCTCCCAGGGCTCGGAGCACTCAGTGTGGCTCCTTACCAACCATGGCCAGCGTGCGGATGCAGGACTCCACCGAGCTCTTGTGCTGCTGCTGCAGCCACGGGCACTCCAGCAGCCTCATGGTGGACTGGAGAAGCTGCACCACAATGGTCTGGTGGGTCTGAAGGAGAGAGCAGGCAGGTGTGTGTCAGCACAAGGTGCCCAGACCCTGCCTGGGGGCTGGATGAGCTGCTGTCCTCCCCCAGCCATCCTGCCCATGTCACCTGCAGCGAGGTGCTGTTCTCCGAGAAGGGGGAGCTGAAGAACGCGTTGATGGTGTCCAGCACCACCGTCAGCACGTACTTCTCCAGGGTGGAGTCTGGCAGGCGTTTCTCTCGCTTCTTGCACATCTGTGAGGAGAGGGA